AGAACCTATTTCTGGGATACCGCAGTTCCATGTGGATCAGAAAATAGCCACAACGTAGTACAACTAAACCCTGATGAAGATAAATATTACCTTCTCACCCCATATCCCACATTAATGCAATCACTCAAAAAATTTTCACCAGAAAGCATTCGCGCTATCGCTCGAAACCCAAATATAGACTTACAATCAATAGGAATATACTCAAAATCAGATATTCAACATCACATTAGAACACAACAATTCCAGGAATTATTAACACAAATGGACACAATACAAAGACAATCAATTGACCAAAACTTACACAAACTTGCCGAAACCGCAGGATTTGCAGACATCTATACGCAAGACTATAGCGGATATTTTAAGGACATTAAAGATTATATATATCTAAACGGTGAAAAATACCGTCCCCAAGATATATCACCTATCAATATTTTTTAGCTTTGTTACACTTAAGAATGAAATTCTTGATTTTCTAGGATGGCCCTACTACATCTTAGAAAAAGTGACTATTTTATACGCAATGTTTAACTTTATTGGATTTCTTTTTTCACTCTTAAAAGGAATCTATAACACATGTGCTATACACACACAAGTCAATAGACAAGCAAGTGTAGCACGCATACTATTTGCAGGATTTTTTGGAATATTTTCTACATCTATAAACAAAATTCTTTTAGACGCACAAATAAAAGAATATAACACAAAAATAGCAACAAGACAGAACACATACGACGAAGAACATAACAATGCAGACACAACACCAACAGCACCACAGTTACCACCCCTACCACATAACCATCCATTATCCCTAGTCCCACGTAATTTTCGAAATTTAGCCATAACACATAATAATTTTAGACCAACCATATCACAAAGTCCCATCCAACATATAATGCCACACCACTCACAAGATGAAAATATTTATGAACAAATTATAGAACAACCCCATACTACCGCTTTTCAGTCTCAAAATAATAATTTTTTTAGCCCACGATGAGCCGACAACTTGGATCCCTACACCGATCAAATTCCCACCCAACCAACCTCACCACTCCAATCCCAATAATACCACTTTTTGCTTTTCCGCCACCCGATTTCCCATCCAGTAATGTAACATCCGGCATGAATTCCGATACTAATTCACACATCTCAGTTTTATACTCCATCTCACAACTCAATAACCCGAATATTGAAACCCCCGATGAATTTGCCGACTCTGAACCATCTCCATCAAATAATTTTCACACCAATTCCTTAAATTTTTCCAACCCCCTTTTCAACCCATACTACCAAATAACCCTGACCCAACCAATTCTACACCCTCTTATGCTTCCCAAGTCACTCCAACCTACTCCTCACTTCACTCAGACCAATCATCTCATTCTCCAGACACCCCCCGAATCTCCCCAGAACTAGATAATTTCATTACCCTACAACAACAACCCTATCACCTTGACACCCCAACCATAAACCAAATCTCATCCACAATAGATTCATCCAACCCTCCTACCCCTACACCCTCTTCAATTTATACTGAATCATTAGCACCATCATCCACAACTACTGAATCTTCACTCAGCACTAATAGAGCTTACCGCACTTTTAAAAGGAAGTTCCCCAACCATCCTTTCCCAGCGAAACCAGGAACAGCCCGTGAATATATCAACCATCCACAACACACTAACACAAAAGAATTTTTAGCTATCACCTTACCCTCATTTCCACAATACACCTTAAACACCCCTCATGACACTAACGAGACACGTAACTTTGTAGACGAATACGTTTTAATGCCTACCCTTCCTTGGACCTCATATTATCATTTTACAAATCCCCTTTGCTTACCTTTATCTAACACTCATATCGATATAGAACGAAATAAGGACATGCTATATCGACTCACTACAACACTAACACCTAGACAATTTACTTACATTGGATATAAAAAATCACTAAAAACACACTGCACCCCGAGCTAATGAATATACACTAGAATATTACGATCATAACATCATCAGAACTAACCAAGATCAATTCTTAGACGACGATCGCTTCGCTAACCCACAAATCACCGAGAAATTTTTCATTAAAACACCATATGTATTTACACTAAATATCTTCGATCGCAAGTTTGACCACATTATTTCAGAAGCACTAACAGACACGCAAGCCTACAAAAGTTTTAAAGAACGCTTCCAAATATTTTCACTAACCTTTCATTTCCTTGCACCACATGAAAGAGATTTGCACTGCTCACACGATATTATGTTGCGCACTAAACAAACACACACATATACTTATTATCGTTTCATCCAAAATCACTTTGACCTACACACTCCCTCCAGACAACCACACCATCGTTTTCAATTCATCAATTCCAAATACACCTCACCATTCTTTCTTAACTTCACATATTGCATTAAAGATACTAACCTTCATGGTATTCTTCGAAATTATGATCCCATAACCCAAATGTATATCTTTTGTCCCATCACCAAGACCTTCAACGCAGAAGAATCCCGACCCTTCCTCATCCCACACGAGTTTGTACAACCTATAGAAATCCCCATTTTAGAATTCATCCATAACACTAAATTCAACCACAAATTATATAATCTAATCCAAAACACACCTTATGAATTTGCAGTTGGCACTGAAGAACTAACCACCATTAAGGCACTTCAATTGCTTTGGCCACTGCTTCAAACTAAAAATATCATCCGCATCTTAGCCAAATTACTAACAACTTCAGATCTCATCCACGACATCTTCCCCCACGGTTTCTTCCCCGACGACTAACAGGTAAGTATGAATTATACATATTACTAACTAATTTAAATATTAGAAACTCACCATTCCTTATCCATGTTTTCTTTAGAATTTTAGCCTTCATCCTATATCATCTGAAAAATTCACAAAAGAAAAATAAAAAATAGCAAACTTCTTCAAAACTGTTTAAAACCCTATTAAATTTTTGCACCAACAATTAAATAAATATAATACCAATGCAGTAAATTAATTTATAAATTTTTCCCCCACAAGCAGTAAATCTAATAATGATGAAAATTTGTAACTTAATTTTCCCCAACAACTAGCAGTAAAGATAAAATTCTATGTAGTAAATTAATAAGAAGCAAATACAGTACTAACCTTTTGCTATTTTCATTCACTCGCACAAGAATTCTATCCAAACTCGCACAGCTCGCCCACGAAGAATTGTTTAAAATAATGAATTTCAGTTTCAAGCTTTCACACTCGATAACTCTAACACAAGATAACACGTTTCAAACTTTCCTTTAACCCGGTTGGAAAGGAATTATATACTAAACAAAACTAACCAATGCAGCTTACTAAACACCACAACACATAGCATAACAGCATGACTAAGAAAAGGAAACCAACGGTACCCAAACCGGATTAACCCAGTTTAAAACTGGATAATTTATTCTTTTGAAGACTATTATAAAGTCTAAGAAAGAAATAACAAAACACAAAAAAGTCGAAAGACAAACCCATACCACAAACAATTTGATTTTTGAAAAAAGGACACAACCAACAAAACATAAGAAAAACCACAACAAACCCAACATAAAACGTTGTCACATAACAGGACCTCTCACAAAAACCGCATGCAATCATACTCCCACTCCTGGCCTAACCCACCAGGAAGGACGTCCTGAGCATGCTCTATAGCCGGCCTAACCCACCGCGCTACATCCACGCTTTGTGACCATACTCCTATTTTTAATAAGAGCTACTCAAGGGTGAGTAACGCTTCAAAATAACTGAACTAAAACAAAAAGCTTTTGTGAAAACAACTAACTAAAATCATAATTAAAAAATATTAAACTAATAAAAGTTTTATAAAATGTAAATTACATTATGCAATACATAGATCAGAATACAACACCAAGGACGAACATCCAAAGACAAAACGACCCTACTACACTCGAGAAAGAATGGCCAACTACAATCAATATGCCGCCCACAATCACAACTCAAAGGATTTAGAGTACGACTTGACTTCGCAGAAAAGGACTTCATTGAACTAGACCAATGACCACCTCGATGTTCAAGTATACGTACAGATCCGAGTAACCAGGCATCCCCTCCACGCACAATCTCCACGCCATTCCCAGACAAGGTCAAACACAAAGAAGTTCTCACCAATGAAACAGAAAAACCTGACATAGCCAACCATTCTGAAATCAGATTTGAGTTTGTTGCGAAAACCCAGTCGTTGTCTTGAGAAGACACAACGATTGAATCTGGGACTTCTCTAATAAGAAAACCCAGAAGAAATAAGATGTTCGCCAAATACCAACGTCCATCATCCATCTTTTGAATTGCAGAAAGACTATTCTAAAAAACTCTGTAAAACCCGGATGGGTGGAACCTGATCTAAACTACATTTTATGATTGGATAAATTAGATATTTTACCAATGTAAAGTATTTAATATTAACCAATCATGATCCATCTAACTAACAATCCACTTATTTGTAAGTGCTGAAATTACTTGTAATTTCAGCACCAGAGAGATTTGAATTTAACTTAGAAATTAGTTGAACTCTCCCGAGTACTTCAGCAGCCGCAATAAACCAGTATACCCTAGATCTATTGAGCCTAGCAGAGACTAGTTAAACAACCTGAGACTAGACAGTATAAGAGTAAGATTAGGATCGGTATTAGACTAAGAAGTTGCACGAATCTATCCGGCCGAAAATAAGATAGCGTGACGAGCAGACGGTGTACCCTATCCGAAATTACTCTATGAGTTATACCCATCGGTCCTAACTCAGAATGGAGATAAAATGTACGACGAAATATCCTTTTTTCTAAGAACATTCTTGCGCTCAAATGCCTTCTTAAAGCACTCGAATTCCTATCTTAACTTTTTGAAATAGTTTTGGACCCACCAACTAATGGAATCGGTATGCTATAAAAACAATGCCAAATATCTTTATTACATTTCATTTTTAATTGATTTATTAAATATCATGCAATTGATGTCACATAATTCTTTGAATACTTGTCATTATCTACAGCAAGAGGATCTGTTCTTTTTTGTTCTCGTTTCTTTGACAATGAGCTAGGCTGTCGGGTGTAGCAAGTTTCTGGTGAAGCAAGTGTTTCTGGTGATTTATCATCGCCTTGAGCAGCATCTTTGGGCTTTTCTTTCATCTTCAGCAATGCAGCCCTTGGCTCTTCGAACTCGGTCTTTTTCATCTTTCCGTATAGCTCGGGGTATATTTCCTCGACGAAAGTCATGAGTCGCAACCATACTTCAGAGAACTCGTAGATGTTGTTGTGGTCTGCTCCTGAGATCCAGGCGGGAGTGGCGGGGTTCTGGAGGAGCTTGAACAGTTCGAAAGAGTGTCCGATTTGGATGAGTTGGTCGTCCTTCCCGTGGATCAAGAGAGTCTTCGGCTTAACCTCTTTCAATGAAACCTCTTCTATTCGAGTGTAATTTCTCAAGGTTCTAGATTAACATGCTTTTATGGCTCTTTTTCAACACCACCCCCCTCCCACACTTGAATTTCATCTTTGAGAAATTAAATTAGCGTTATATGAAAGTACTTACTAATTTGTTAACCACTAACATCACGCATTCAACCGTTAAAACGCGTAAATAACTATGAAGAAAGGAAAACTTGAAGACTGGAGGGGAGTGAAAAAGAGCGGCTTTTCCTCAGTATACGTTTATTTGAAAGTCCAGCTGAATTTGAAATTGAAAAAATATTTAAATGTAACTTACCTAATGCATTTAGGAAATTCAATAATAAAATTTACATAAGTGTTACACGTAAGCATGCTAAAAAGGGAGTTTTATCGCCTCTGAGCTTTGTTAACCAAAAAGTATAAAATTCGGTCAATGGCTCAACATCGAACTATTGAAAAATCATGATTTTAAAATTATTCTTGCCAACACACGCTATTCACGATTTTATACTTAGTAGCTGAGATTCCTTGTATGGTGTTTGCGTTGAGGAGGAAGTCGCAGCACTGACACCTTCTCTGAGGGCAGACTATCCGAGCGAGGGAGGAGAAGGCACTGATCAACACCACCCCTCCCACGTCATCACGCACGGAGCCGAGGTGGATAGTTGGGGCTGCACTTATATACAGGTCAAAAGATAGATAAGCACACGGAAAGGGGGCGTTTTTGATTTATTGAAACTTTCTTTTTTATAGAATGTTTATTCACTTTTCTAAAGTTTCTGGAAATTGACAATAAGAGTGGTGCATAAATAGTATTTGGAAAATCACTTCAAAATGTGTGAAACATTGAGTTGGTCCACAAAACATTATTTTCAAAGAACAATTTATTTTAAGTTATAGTAGATCGAAAAATTGCTTTGAAATCGTTAAAGATCACTCAAAGTAGTTCTGTGCTTTCTGCCATAGACATCTTCCAATGTAGGTTTAAAAAGTCAAATACACTAGTGGACAAAATTTAGCCGAAATTCAGGTTTTTACTCTCTAAAATGCCTGTTTTCAATGCTATTTTGAACAACATTTACTTCGTTTTTCAGCTAAATTTTTTACATAAATCATGAGCTACCATCGATGTAAATATCAATATTTGATTTCAAAGACTTCAGAATGTAATCCGGGTCTGAAAATGCCAGATTTCCTCATTTGCACTAAGTTTCGCATCGTCAGTGAATTCTTTCATGAATAAACTGAAAAAATTGTTCATGCGACGTGAAACATTTTCAGCGAGAAAATGAAAAAAAAACAGTGTGAAAACTTTACTAAACTCAGACGTTTCTTAGGCTCTTTTACAGTTCCCCCCCTTTCAAATTCAATTTTGAAAAGCTTGATTAACGTTGTCATAATGCAATGATATTTGGCGTGGTGAACAAATCGACAACTGTGAACAGATTTGTTCTTCATACTTTACAGCGTAACATCGCGCATTTAGCCGTAATAACACGTAAAACAAACATAAAACTCGGTATTTTGAAAAGAGGGGGGAACTGGAAAAGAGCCGTTTCTTACTTTCACGCGAAGTAAGAAAAATCTAGTACAGATGAGGAAGTCTGGCTTTTTCAGACCCGGACTACATTGTTAAAACAAATATTTATACTTTCATAGATGGTAGCTCTGATGATTTAATCATGGTCTATGTAAAAACTTTGCTGAAAAGTGTGAAAAACGAAGTAAATGTTGCCCAAAATGGACATTGAATATAAGCATTTTAGACAGAAAAAATGATTTTGCGCTTTATTTTGTCCAATAGTGTAAGATACCCAAAAGCCTCGCCTCATTTTGTGTATTTCAGTTCTCTTTATTTACTTGAAACTGTGATGACCAAAAGCCCAATTTTTCGAATGGAAATCACTTGATTTGGAAAAAATTTATAAGACCTTCTTTTTTCAAAGTTTTCGGTGTAAGGAATGATAAAACCTTGCTTTGTTGTACTTATTTTTTGTCTTCTATCTTTTTTCCTGTGCCAAGACTCTGTCCGACTAGAATGACCTGACTGGGCTGGAGACTGTACTTGTTGAGTAGCATGTGGAATACTGCCTCCACATCCGAGTATGCGTTCTTCTCGGAGGGGATGCCACTGCTGATGCCATAGCCAGAGTAGTCATAGATGGCCACATTGCAACTCAACAGGGTTGATAATGCGAACGCTACTTGACAGCTGTAAATATGATAGACGAGCATATGGAGAAAGGAGTTAGCTGATGATTTTTCACAAGGCAGATACGATACCATGCGTTAACGGGATAGAACGTCGAACCCCCTCTGATGAAACTGATATGAAACTTGTTGTTGAATTTCAAGACTTTTCTTTTAAGAATGCAGGCAATTCAGGCCTCTGCATCTGCTGGCTCTTTTCCAGCTCCCCCTTTCAAAATACCGAGTTTTATGTTTGTTTTACGTGTTATTACGGCTAAAAGCGTGATGTTACGCTGTAAAGTATGAAGAACAAGTCTGTTCAGAATTGTCGATGTGTTCACCACGCCGAATTTCATTGCATTATGACAACGTTAAATAGACTTTTCAAAACTGAAATTCAAAGGGGGGAAACTGGAAAAGAGCCGAACTTTTTTATTTCGGAAAACATTATGCAACTGTTTGAGCTTCGAGCAACGTCAATACGGCTCTTTTTCCTCCCCCCCCCCACCTGCAAATTTTTACATGTAAATTTGTTAACTACATTGTCCGATTGCTATGAAAATTTACATACAGACTAATAAGGCTACGACAAACATATTTGGTCTTCATACTCAACCTCGTAAAACCACTCGTTACACTAAAAAATTGAAGGTCGTGTGAGGTTGGGGGGGGGGGGGGGGGGGGGAGGAAAAAAAGCCGTCAATACTATCGTAAGTTATTATTGCCTAGGGTTGAACATCAAAAATATTTTTTAATAAATTGAACAAAAAAATAATTACAAACCATATTTTGGGGAAAAAAATTGATGAAACTTTCCAGTTTCAAATTACAAAATAAATTTGTTCATATGGCAAATTTGCATGCAAAAAATTATGTAACATCTTGGTCAATTGTTCACTCTGACACGTTTTATTCGTGTCTGTACAAAACAGTCCCATACAAAACAGTCCAATACAAAACAGTCCGGAAAAGTATGAAAATGAACGAAAAAACAGTCCGATACAAAACAGTCCGAAAAACAGTCCCAATTAATAATTGTTGTAACAAGCCGGCAGGCCGAGAATTGTCCTTTGTTCAACAAGCATAAAGAACAAAATAGTGACCGCCGCAGTCGCGCCAACGTGTTGCGAGCTTGCCAACAGAGATAAAGACTTAATACGAAATTTAGAGCCGGTTATCGCCGCAAAGCGGCTACGCGCGCGTAGCGCGCCCACTGGCGACCTTAAACCGGACTGTTTTGTATTGGACTGTTTTTTTCCTCCATTACATGCTTTTTGGGTCTATTTTGTATTGGACTGTTTTGTATGGGACTGTTTTGTATATGCACCGTTTTATTAAAGTTTAGAACATCAAAAGCTATTTTAAATTGACTTCCGAATATATTTGTTTTAATTAGTTAAAATTGTATAAACCATTTGTTTTGCCATATGTACTTTGTTACGCCTTGTAAGATCGGGAGGAAGGAAAAAGAGCCAAATTGTTAAAACAACTCCTACAAAATCCTCAAAATTTTTGGATAAATTGAATGCTTTTTCACTCCAACCCCGCGTTTCAATTTTTTTTCATGATTTGTTTTACGTGTTATTATGGCTAAACCGGTGATGCAAGGTATTATCTATTAAAAGTTTGAGAAAATTAGGTTCACTTTTGTTAGTTTTTCATCAAGCCAAGTTTTCTTGCATTGCGACAACGTTAAAATAAATTTCCAACATTGAGCCAAGTTGAGAAATTGAATCACAAATAACCGACGGCTCTATTTCCTTTTTTACCCTAACTCCCACGACCATCAATTTTATGGTGCAATGAGTAATTGGCTCTTTTTCCTCCCCCCCCCCCCCCACTTCACACGAGCTTCAATTTTTTAGTGTAACGAGTGGTTTTACGAGGTTGAGTATGAAGACCAAATATGTTTGTCGTGGCTTTATTAGTCTGTATGTAAATTTTCATAACAATCCGAATGTGGTCAACAAATTTAATTTAAAAATTTGCAAGTGGGGGGAGAAGGAAAAAGAGCCGAGTGGTTTTACAAGGTTAAATATGAAGACCAAACGTGTTTGGCACATCCTAATTAGTCCGCATGTCAATTTTCATAATGATTGGACAATGTGAACAGAAACTTTACTAGTAAAAAATTGCAGGTGGGGGGAAAAGGAAAAAGAGCCCAACCGACATTTAACGCTGTCAAATCACGAAGCTACTTTTTCGGTTGCTCTTAAAGCGTTTAACTTCCGACATTTAACAGTGTCAAATCACGAAGCTATTTTGTCAATTTGGCTCTTTTCCAGTTCCCCCCCTTTGTTAAATTACAAAAAGAGATGTTCAAAAATTGTTCACACGGCAATTTTCATGTTAGAAATGTTGTGAAAATTTGTTCAGCTGTTCACGCTGACACGTTTTAATGCAGTTCATAACATTAAAAATTATTTTAAAAAGACTTTCATGTAATGAATTTCAGAAAAAATGAAAGGGGGGGGGGAACTGGAAAAGAGCCGTCAATTTTTTTTATAACGCTTCAATAAAAAATTGCTAAGTGCTCTAATACTGCGCAAAAAAAACAATTGAACTTAAATAAATTTTCAAGAAAAGTTCCCAATTGTGTTTCAAGTTTTATTGTTTTAATTGGTTTTTGGTGCTTTTCCAGCCCTGATTTTCTGTTTTTTGATGTTCGATGATGAACAAAATATTTATACTGACATTTGACGTTCTTAACTACAATAAAAAATGTCAAAGTGAACAGTTGAACAGCTCACAGAGTTGCTTACGCGTAAATTACCGCATTCACAGTTCTTAGACAACTTTATTTAGTAATTTTACGAGGGTATTGGAAACTGGAGAAGAACTTTTTTCCAGTTTCCCAACCAATTCATGCAATTAAAAAACATGATTGCTTGAAAATTGGGCTTTTTTCCGGGTTCCAGTCCCTTCATAATATTATGATATTAAATTTTTCAAAAGTTGTTCGCACGGCCATTTGTGTTTAAGAAATGCTGTAAAACTTTGTTCAATTGTTCACGCGGACATCTTTTTAAAGCATCAAATTAAAACATCAAAAGTCAGTTCAAATCAGCTTCCGTATT